TGCGTTCAGGTGTGAGGTGAGTCTGTAGGACGTGGTGCGCTCAGGTGTGAGGTGAGTCTGTGGGATGTGATGCGTTCAGGTGTGAGGTGAGTCTGTGGGATGTGATGCGTTCAGGTGTGAGGTGAGTCTGTAGGACGTGATGCGTTCAGGTGTGAGGTGAGTCTGTGGGACGTGGTGCGTTCAGGTGTGAGGTGAGTCAGGGACGTGGTGCGTTCAGGTGTGAGGTGAGTCTGTGGGACGTGGTGCGTTCAGGTGTGAGGTGAGTCTGTGGTGCGTTCAGGTGTGAGGTGAGTCTGGGACGTGGTGCGTTCAGGTATGAGGTGAGTGTCGGACGTGGTGCGTTCAGGTGTGAGGTGAGTCTGTGGGACGTGATGCGTTCAGGTGTGAGGTGAGTCTGTGGGACGTGATGCGTTAAGGTGTGAGGTGAGTCTGTGGGACGTGGTGCGTTCAGGTGTGAGGTGAGTCTGTGGGATGTGATGCGTTCAGGTGTGAGGTGAGTCTCACCTGTCTAGGGGTACATCCCAAGTCTCTTAATTGTCGTTTCCTTGATCCTCGCTTGAACCGGAAGTTGTTTCTGCACCGCCATATTGACGGCCGTCCCAAAGCTCTTATTTAGCTCTGAGGAGCGAGGATGGAGGAGGGAGGAGGGACCTCGGAGGAGCTATGAGCGAGGAACCACGAGAACAGACTTCCAGGAAGTCTTTTAACGGCCGACACGCCCCCTCATTGTTCATCAGTCATGTGATTGGACGCTGCAGCTTATCGGACTGACTGACTGAGTTTAACACCAAAGTGAAGACGGATCACAGAATAAACTCTAGTTTATATTTGATTAGGTTTGTGATTCAACATCTGGTTTAAATAAATGTTCATTGTACTCTGAACAACAAAAGGACCACAAACAACTTTCTACATTTATTAGAAAGATTTGTGTTTTCATGATCTGATGTTTCCCTCAATAACTTTATTATGAATACAATTAAAGTCAGAGAGAGCTGAGAGACGAAACACTTTTTACATCATTCCTGAGTGTTTGATGAGTTTTATCATTTAAGAGAAACAATAATCATATTCTGGGTTATTTAATAATGACGCCACAGTCACAGTTTCAAAACGTACAGATGCAAATAATTCATAAATAAGACGATCGCATTCCGCCGGTAGAAATGGATCCTGATCTTATAAACAGGACACAGCTTGTTAACAGACTACAGAGAGAAACACCTCTACAGTGGTGATCACTGTGTCTTTATTAGTATTAATGTTATTAGTTACTGTTATTAAGTACAGTGATCATGTGAACAGACACAAACTTATCTAAAGTCTCTCCAGCTGTTAAAGCCGACTGACAGCTGATCAGCTGTGATCATCAGCACCGTCATCAGAAACAGACGTCGCTTCACATGACGCAACTGAGGAAAGGACGTCTCATGTCTCTTAAAACATATTTCCTCGTTTCCTCTCTCCTTGCATGGTTTCCTCCATGCATCCCTGGTGGGAGGGACTAAGACGCAAGGAAAGGACCCAAGTGAGGGAAACGGGGATGCAGTTAAGAGACTTGAGAAGAACCCTATCTCTCTCCCCAGTGCCTGTCTCCCTCTCCTCTGTGGCTGAACCGTCCTGTCTTCCTCCCTCACTGGAACTACATCCCCCACAATGCCCCAGGGCAGGACCAGGACGAGGCCGGAGGCTACCTGGAGCTGATTGGTTCTCCTGTTTTGTTGTGTCCCGGTCCTGAGCAGGGATTGGCTCCTAGCCCTGGAGGAGGGGCGGGGCTTAGCAGAGCAGTTGGCGTCAGAGAGGCTGCTGGTTTACTGGACAACAGGTAAGTCACCTGTTACCTGTCTCACTCCCTCTGAGGGGTGACAGCATTCATGAGGACTGAAGGAACGGAGTATCACACAGATACTGTCTCTGCCTGTCTCACTCCCGTCTCTGTCTGTCTCTCTCTCTACCTGTCTTTGTCTCTTTCTATCTGTCTCTATCTCTCTCTCTCTACCTGCCGTTCTCTTCCTGTCTCTCTCTGTCTCTACGTGTGTGTGTGTGTGTGTGTGTGTGTGTGTCTCTCTCTGTCTCTCTGCCTGTGTGTGTCTCTCTCTCTCTCTCTCTCTCTCTCTCTGTCTTTCTCTTCCTGTCTCTCTCTGTCTCTACCTGTGTGTGTTTCTCTGCCTGTCTCTCTCTCTCTCTCTCTCTCTCTCTCTCTCTCTCTCTCTCTACCTGTCTTTCTCTTCCTGTCTGTCTCTCTCTCTCTGCCCGTCTGTCTCTCAGGACTCGTGGACAGCGTGTCTCAGTCTTTGGTCTGGTGGGTTCTGTGTGCCCTCAGCTGGTCGTGGCAGGAACAGCCTTCTTCTGCTTCTGGCTGACAGACGCGTCTCACACTGTCCGTGTCCTCGTCAAGGTGTGTGATGTCACTTCCTGTGCAGTTAGACCCAAAAAAACACATACTGATTAATAATCACTGATCATATTCATCGTACACCTAAACACCTCTACACCTGAACACCTCTACACCCGCTGATCTATCACTCAGTTAATGTGAACAAGTGTCTGTCTCTCTGTCTGTCTCTCTGTCTGTCTCTCTGTCTGTCTTCCTGTCTGTCTGCCTGTCTCTCTGTCCGTCTACCTGTCTGTCTGCCTGTCTCTCTGTCCGTCTACCTGTCTCTCTGCCTGTCTGTCTGCAGGACAGAAGCAGGCTGTGTTGGACTCAGTGTGTGTACGTTGGTCAGAGTGTGTGTGTGACGGCGTTGCGTGTGTGTGTCCTACGAGGCTGGAGAGGAAGCAACATCCTGTGTGTAACCGACCAGTCTGAAATACACACAAACTACACACACCCTCCTGTAGGCGACACACACACTGACACACCGTTAGACACGCCCCCACCGCTGATGATGTCACACGTTGATGATGAAGACTGTCAGGAGGTGGAGCCTGAGAGAGGCGTCAACCAATCAGGTTTCAGGATGAAGAAGTCCCGGGTCATCAGTTACCAGGTAAAATACAGAGAACACTGATTGGCTGCAAGAATGTTACCTGTTAATAAGACTTGTCTGGTAAGCCCCGCCCCTCTTTTCTGATAGGGCACGGTGACTAAGGTGGTGAGTGAGGGGGCCGGACTGTACGTGATTGACAGGAAGGTGGGGCTGTGCCTGGCCTATCAGCCGACACTGAGGAGAAAACTGAGAGCAGGAGACTCTGTGGAGGTGAGTCTCGGTTCAGGTGAGTCTCGGTTCAGGTGAGTCTCGGTTCAGGTGAGTCTCGGTGCAGGTGAGAGTCTCGGTGCAGGTGAGAGTCTCGGTGCAGGTGAGAGTCTTTTTTTAATATCTCCTCTGCAGCTCCATCATGTCCACTTCCTGTACCGGCCCTGTCCCGACTTTCCTCCCAGCATGCTTTGCACCTGCCTCCGCTCCAGCCTCAGGGTCACCACCTTCAGCAGGGTGGGGGGGTCATCTTCATCATCTTCATCATCACCTGACTCCAGCTGTCCAGGTGATGGAGTGTTACCGCGGTTACTGCTGGAGAAGAACATGAGCGTGTCCGAGTACCTGTGGACCTGTCACCTGAGCTCACAGCTCACTCACAGGTGAGTAGGCAGCTAGAATACACACCTGTACAGGTTAATGACGGGGCTCATTAACTGTCTGTCTGTCTGTCCTCCAGTCTGGTCCCCACTGTGTTGAAGCAGCAGTGTGTGTGTGTGTTGTCCTGGAAGCTGATGGAGTGTGTGTGGAGACGAGGAGGAGGAGGAGGAGGAGGAGGAAGGAGGGATATCTACTCAGAGATGTTGGACGAGCCTCACACCTGTCCTCTTTCACAGGTAGACAGTGTCTCTATGTCCCTATTTCTCTCTACAGTACAGTGTTAACCCCACAGTGTCTCTATGTCTCACAGTGTCTCTGTGTCTCACAGTGTCTCTATGTCTCTCCACAGTACAGCACTAACCCCACAGTGTCTCTGTGTCTCACAGTGTTTCTATGTCTCTCCACAGTACAGCACTAACCCCACAGTGTCTCTATGTCTCTATGCCTCACAGTGTCTCTATGTCTCCACAGTACAGCACTAACCCCACAGTGTCTCTATGTCTCTATGCCTCACAGTGTCTCTATGTCTCCACAGTACAGCACTAACCCTACAGTGTCTCTGTGTCTCACAGTGTCTCTATGTCTCACAGTGTCTCTGTCTCTCCACAGTACAGCACTAACCCTACAGTACATCAGTCCATCAGTGTCTCAGAGCTCAGCCGGTCTCTACAGTCTGAGTCCTGGTCTTCAGTGTCTCTGAGGTCTCTGCTGTCCTCTGGTGGATCAGGTCTGACCAGGTCTCAGATCAACTCAGCGCTGGCTTGGTCCTTCAGGACTCAGACCGGGGACAGACCCGGGCAGCGCCCCCTGCTGGTGGTCGGGGTGCTGGAGCTCCCGTCAGAGACGTCTGATCATCAGACTCTGCAGCTCAGAGACGGGACAGGAGGTGTGGCCTGTGTCGTCACGGAAACCAGGGAGGAAGAGGAGGGAGGTCAGAGGTCAGCCTTCAACACAGCCTGGATAGGTACACACACACTCAGAGACACACACACAGACACACACAGGTCACCTTACATTTTGAAGACGTGTGCGTGTGCGTGTGCGTGTGCGTGTGCGTGCGCTGCAGGCTGTCTGGTGTGTGTCCAGCAGTTCACCATGGTAACAGAGAGATTCCTCCAATCAGATTTCCCCTCCTACCAACACCTGGACCAGGACCAGTACATCACACACAAACACTGCAGGTACAGACACACACACACACAAACACTGCAGGTACGCACATGCACACAAACACATGCACACATACACTATGAAGGCAAATCACTGTCAAAATCCGAGAGCGCAAATGAGATCCATGTACGGGCGAAAATCAAACAGCCGAGCTTTTACAATCACTGCACCAGCGAAGCTTAAACCTGCTCGCTGGCTCGTAGTTTTTATTTTTGACAGTAAGTGGGCGGAGCCAGTCTCCATTGTATCTCTACTTCTGATTGGTTACAATCCTGGTCTTTGGATAAACAGGATATCACTCTGACACAGACGCTCGGGGGAGATAATGTACATTTGACTGCACGGGTACTTCTACTTTCTGCACTTAAAGTACATTTAGCTGATAGTAAGGTTTTGAATGCAGGTATTCTACTCGTAGTGGGTTATTGTTTCATCAGTATGGTATTAGTATGTTTACTGCAGTGAGGATCTGAATACTTTTTCATCCACTAACTACTTATCAGTGATTTTTTTTTTTTTTTTTTTTTTTTTTTTTTTTTCAGTTGCTGTTGCACTGAACAAAAAACGCGACAAAACATCGTCAATGACAAAAAACAAAAATGAAAAAAAATAATAATAATAAAATAAAAGGGGGGGGGTCACCATTCACTCTTTACAAACATTGTTCTATTCTTTTCAGGTCACCTGAGAACACTACTCATCTTTTCCTTTGTAAACAGTCCATTTTCTCCAGCGTTGATCGTGGATCCCTGCTTTGATCCTTAGAAAAAGAGTCAATTTTTCCATAGAATATATTT